TGCTCTTGCAAGTATGATGCATTGTCTGTATCTTACACCCCGTAACCAACCTCTAGTGATCCTGATTCAAGGCAACCCAAGATACTCTCTCCTGTGAGAGAGGTTCACAGTGAGCTTTTTCATCTGGAATGTGCATATTCTCACTTTCTCTAACCTCCTCAGCTTTACAGTTCAGAGACATTGAACCATACCACTATCAGCAGAATTGGAATTTGCAGTGGTGGCTCACAATTATAGGTAGAATTTGAAACCCTCCAAGTGATAATTGAGGCCAAGACTGGAATGCTAGCTGATTGTGCCATGCAACTGTGAAGACTGGAAAGTGAAAATCCCCTAGATCTTCCTTGACCTTGAAAAGGAGACCCATCCAATCCTGGCTACCCACCTCAGAAGACATGTCACCTTGAAATGTCTTTTCTTTCTTCCTTCAGAATCAGAAACGTTACAAAAGAATATAAAGGAAAGTCTGAAAACATTGAAGCTTTGAAAGGTAAAAATATATAGATATATAAATAGATATGGATACTGTTTTCCTGATTGTAACTCAGTGTGTTTTACTCTTGCTGAGCAAATCATGATGGTATTTCAGGTTTGAAAACAGTTACATAAGCCACAGGATGAATTCTCCCTTCTAACTACTCTTGTCTATTGTAGAGAATATAGAAAAAAATGGGTAATTTGGAAATTATATGTATTTCAAAGATGATGTTATTTTTAGCGACCACAGGACTCCTGGTGTGGCGTTGTAGGGTAAGCACTAAACTGTAAACCAGAAGGTCAGCAGTTCAAACCCACTAGCTGCTCCTCGGGAACATTGTACAGGGTTGTTGTAAGTCGGAACCAACTGGACGGCACTTAACAACAACAACATGTACACAGAATGACACACAGCCAGGTTCTGTGTCATCTTCCTAATTGTCATGTTTGAGCCCACTGTATCAATCCATCTTGTTGAGGGGCTACCTCTTCTTCAATGTCCCTCCACTTTACCAAGCATGTGTCCTTCTCTGGGGACTGTTCTCTGCTTCTAATATGTTCAAAGTTGTTGTTATTATTGTTATGTGCCATGGAGTCGGTTACAACTCACAGTGACCATGTACAGGGTTTCCAAGGCTGTAAATCTTTATAGGAACAGAAAGCCTCATCTTTCTCCCACGGAACAGCTGGTAGTTTCGAACTGCTGACCGTGAGATTAGCAACCTGATTCGTAACCACTACTCCACCAGAGCTCCTTAGTATGAGATAGAAAATATGATCATTGTCCCTTCCAAGGAGTAATCTGTCTCTACTTCCTCCAAAACAAATTTGTCTGTTCTGCAGACCATGGTATAGTCAATACTGTTCACCAGCACCATAGTCCAAATGCATCAATTCTGCAGTCTTCCTTGTTCATTGTCCAGTTTTCACACGCATAGGAGGTGACTGAAAATACCATGACTTAAGTCAGGAGCATTTTTTAGTTCTGAAGTTGACATTTTTTTTGCATTTAAAAAGACCTCTAAATCTTAAAAGAGATCTTTTGCAGCAGATTTGCCTAATGAAATATATCTTCCGATTTCTTGATTGCTGCTTCCATGAATATTGATTGTGGATCCACATAAGATAAAATATTTGACAACTTCGATCTTTTCTCCATTTACCGTGATGTTATCTATTAGTCCAGATGTGATGATTTTTGTTTTCTTTACACTGAGGTGCAATCATGCTGAAGAAAGATAGATTGCTTAAAAATGGGATAATTTAAGAATAGTCAGGAGTCCTGGTGTGGTGCTGTGGGTTAATGCACCAGACCGCAAAGCCTTATGAACTACAAAGTTGGCTGTTCAAACTCACCAGCTGCCTCTCAGAAACCCTATACAGGGTCTCTATGGGTTGGAACGGACTCGACGGCACTTAACAACAACAACAACAAGGATAGTCTGTTGTTTTTTCCTGGAAATTCTAATTTTTCTTTTATAATTCCAAACTACTATTTTAGATACTGTTATTTTTTTTTTCTTTTGTGCAAAAGAGTTATTTGCCTTAAAGGGTTTTTAACCACTTACTATTTAATCATATTAGCACTTGACCTCAAGGTTGGTTTGAACTGCTGCAAGGTTGGCAGTTCAAACTCACCAGCCTTTCCTCAGAAACATTATGCAGGGTTGGCGTGAGTTGGCACCAACTCTGCTCGACAGTACTTAATAACAACAGCACAGTGTCTCTATAGAATAAGCATAAAATTGGAAGTTCAAGATCACCACCCACTCCTCTGGAGAAAGATGAGGCTTTCTTCTTCCACAAAGATTTGCAGCCTTGGCAACCTTCTGCAGGGTAACTTTGAATCAGAACTGATCTGACAGCACCCGTTAAGAACAACAGACACATGTCAGGAGATGTCAATGAACCGAGTCATGTAAAATATGGTTCATTGCTTTATAATCAAGTAATTTTAGGCAGGACCTTCTGAAGAATAATTTCCTAAAAAGGCAACCTGTTGTGTTTTATCTTGAAATGAACAAGTCATTGTATTTATAGTTAGAAAACACAGCCATTCAAAGAATTAATAAGAGAAGTTACTGGCTTCATAGGAAAATTTCTCTGTGATTTTGACTGCTGCTGTTTGCCCTTCCTCCCTTATCTCTTTTCCTTCTTTCTTTCAAACCTTCTTTCCACTCCAGATCTGACACTTGACATATATGAAGGGCAGATCACTGCAATTCTTGGTCACAGTGGAGCTGGGAAATCCACGCTGTTGAACATTCTGAGTGGCTTGTCTGTTCCCACCAAAGGTGAGAGGTTTTTCCTAAAGTCAAGTTGACAGAAAAAAAAAAAAGTTCTGCTGAAAACTAATCACAAATACAGATATCTAGGGAAAAAACTATAACTTTATATTTTCATTTAATATTTCATTGCTATTTATGAAATTTATAACCTGCGATATGCACTGGACCATAAGGTCAGTTTGAGCCACATAGTCAGTGGTTCAAACCCACCAACCGCTCCTTTCAACTCCTGGAGTTTCCATGTGTGTTAGAGGACAATTGTTCTCCAAAAGGTTTTCACTAGCTGATTTTTCCATTCTTTTGAGATGTCTATGGGTAGAACAGAACCTTCAACCTTCCAGTTAGCAGTTGAACATCTTAACCATATGAATAATCCAGCAGGTGCAATAGTTACATAGCCAGATGCTATAGGATAAGCACTGGGCTGCTAACCACCAGGTCAGCAGTACAAACCCATCATCTGCTCTCAGAAACCTTACACAGGGTTACTACAAGTTGGAACCTACTTGATGCCACTTAACAACAACATAACTAAAATGGAAATTTATAGTGTCTGAATTGTATAACCTTTGAAATAAAATCATATACTTAAAATTAATATTTAATTATTCTCACTTGTTGTTGTTAAGTACTGTTGTCAAGTCGGTTCAAATTCATAGTGACCCGGTATAGGGCTTCCAAGGAGTGACTGGTGAATTTGAACCTCCAGACTTGCAGTTAGAAGTCCAGTGCTTATCTTCCAGTGTCACATGTAGGAAGATCTTTACTTAAGCATTATCCTGATGATAACTTTTAATCTTTGTTGTAGGTTCAGTCACCATCTATAATAATACATACTCCGAAATGATTGATCTGGAAAATATCAGCAAGCTCACTGGAGTTTGTCTACAATCTAATGTTCAATTTGACTTCCTCACCGTGAAAGAAAATCTCAGTCTCTTTGCTAAAATAAGAGGGATTCTTCCAAGAGAAGTGGATGAAGAGGTACATAAATAGGTTAATGTATTCATCAACATAACATCATTAATCTTATTTTCACTGAGTTTTACACATTTTAATTAAATTGTGCATAAATAATTGTATAAATGATGGACTTAAAATCCAACCTATCAATGATATATATATATATATAATTTGCAACATGCCAAGTAGGATCCTTAATTTAACCATACTAAGCCATTTAATGTGCAACCATTTCAAGAGCTACCATATGAACAAGAGTCAATGATACTCAGGGAGGAAGTCCAAAGAGCATTGAAAGAATTGGCAAAGAACAAGGCACCAGGAATTGATGGAATAAAAATTGAAATCTTTCAAGAAAGTGAGGCAGCACAAGAGGCACTC